GGAAGGCTTCTTGGTCAGACCCTGGATGGTGCTAGGAATGACTGTGGGCAAAAAGGTAGATATATCCTAGGAGCCGTGGCCATAGTGGAAGACTGATGCAAGGTGGAAACCGAGGAGGCTGCTACAGAGGGAGGGAGGGAGATGGAAACCTTGAGAGATCTCTGGAGGGATGGGCACAGAGATGGGAGGGGGGCAGAGGGACAGGACAGAAGGGTCTGGGCAAACATGAAGGGAGGGAAAAGAAGTCTGTCAATCTGGTTCTGAGCCGCAGGGATGACAGGAGCCTTTCTCATCTCTTGTCCTGGCTTGTCATCCAAGCTCACTTTATCACCCCCTTTTTAATCTCTGGTCCAGGAGGGTCTCTGCTTCTTTCTGTCATTGTGTATGTGAGTGAGTGTGAGTGAGTGTATGGAGGTGGCCCTCTATTCTAAGCTAGCTGTGTGGTTCCGCCTTTTTGGATGATCTGTAAAACAATTGAGACTAAGATTTAATTGTAGATGCTTCTTCAATAAAAATGTATTACATCCGTCCATCTAGCTATACGAGAGAGAGAATGGGCTGTCTAGCTGTGCATGTGCCACAGTGTGCATTATGTGCATGTATAGGTCAGAAGACAGCTGGCAGGAATTGGTTCTTTCTCTCTTTCTACCATGTGAGGCTCCAGGCATTAAAGCAAGGTTGTCAGGTTTGGCAACAAGCGCCTTTACCAACGGAGCCATCTCACCAGCCCTGCAGCCCTTCTTGACAAATCTTCCAGTCCTTTGCTGAGGCCTCCCTTCCACATCCCCACGCAGACCCCAAAGACCTATCTCTATCTAAAGGTCTCCATCAAGACCTACAACTCTTGGGACCCTTGATCCCATCTTTGGGGTCAACTGGCAGGGCAGTGTGTATGAGGGAGAATGTCATTTGTCCACAACTCCGAGGCTGGAGTTCTGTCTGGCTACACCTAGTCTGCCCAGCCTTGATGTGCCCTCTGTGGAGAACTCTCCCCCAGACCTAGTCACCTTCCCAGTGGAGCCAGCCTTTTGGACACTCATACTCTCCCACCTTTTTCCTGGCTCTCCAAGCTCTTTGCTGGGCTTGCTGACGGAATTTCTGTCAGCAGGGCTGTCTTCGCTGGGCACTTAGCCAGATACAGGTAGGGTACTGGGGAGCTGTCAGCTGAAAGAGCAAGGGTCTGAAGAATAGAGGAGGGTGGACTATCAAGATGTGGCTTGCTGGCAGAGTGCTTGGGTGCTGAATAGAGGAGGGTGGCCCAAAGTTTAATCTCCAAGACCTTAAAAAAAGAAGGTAAACTGGGCTGGACCGGGTGAGGGCTGAGAGCTGCTTGCACCACTTGCCCCAAGAGCCATGTCCCAAAAGCTTTCCAGCGACCCTGTGGACAGCAACATTTTCCAGATGTACATGTGTGGTGGCCCACAGTTGGGAGCCCCATTCCCACTCCCTGGCTGGGGAAATGGGCAGAGGGGCAGACCCTAACCCTCCTCCCTTGCTGTCTGCTAGATCTCCTGTCTGCCAACCGCTCTGCCATCTTTCTGGGCCCAAGGGGCTCCCTAGACCTCCAAGTCATGTACCTGGATGAGTATCGGGATCGCCTCTTTCTGGGAGGCCGAGATGCCCTCTACTCCCTGAGGCTGGATCAGGCATGGCCAGACCCCCGGGAGGTGAGTCAGACTGAGGGGGTTGAAAGCTGGGCACCTCAAGATAAGAGGCCAGATGGAGAAACTGAGACTATGAGCTTCAAGGTACTGAGGTTACTTGGCTGTGTTTCAGGTCTTGTGGCTGCCACAACCAGGACAGAAGGCAGAATGCATCCGAAAGGGAAGAGATCCTTTGGTGAGTGTTGTTGGCAAGAACCACTCTCCAGCCCAACTCTACCAGGCCTTGGTCTCGGAATGGCCTGCAGCCACTCCTCTGCTAGGAGCATTTGAGCAGATCCTTAGTGTTTTGGGAGGTCTGGCTGGAGGAAGAACATGACCCTCACCCGTGTCCCCAGAGCTGATACAAAGTTGGGCTGAGCCTTGGACCCCGAGGAGATGGTGCCCTTCTCCCTCACCCTTGGCCCTCTTCTTTCTCTTGCAGACAGAGTGTGCCAACTTCGTGCGGGTCTTACAACCCCATAATCGGACCCATCTTCTGGCCTGCGGCACTGGAGCCTTCCAGCCCATCTGCACCCTCATCACAGTGGGGCATCGAGGCGAGGTGAGCCTGTGAAGTTGGGAAGCAGTGACATTTCCTCCCTGCTGTCTGACCGCTTCCCATGGAACCAGGGTAGGACAGAGGGAGCAGGCGTTTGAAAGGCGCCTTTGTGCTGGGGTGCTGACCCCATCGGAGAGGCGGTGAATGAGGATTTCTTCCCCCACCCCCACTCCTAGCTCTAGTTGCACGCAAGGATCACTGCCTGCTTGAGGCTCTGCATCTTTCCCAGGTGACACCCCTCTGTGCCCCTTTTCTACTTCTAGCACGTGCTCCTCCTGGAGCCCAGCAGCGTGGAAAACGGAAGGGGACGTTGCCCACATGAGCCTAGAGGTCCCTTCGCCAGCACCTTCGTAGGTGGGTGATACCGAGCCAGAGTGGGCCAGGGGGTGAGCGTTGGCCTGTGGCACTGGGAAGGGATGGGGTTGGTTGCTAGACCTGGGCCCCCTCTCCTGACTCTGGCCCCCTCTAGCGGGGGAGCTGTACACAGGCCTCAATGCTGACTTTCTGGGACGTGAGGCCATGATTTTCCGGAGCGGGGGTCTCCGACCAGCCCTGCGTTCTGATTCTGACCAGAGCCTGCTGCATGGTGAGGGCCCCCTGAGGGCAAGGCTGCCTGGGACCCATCCCTCTAACTGGGAAGAGAGAAGACAGATAGAATGAGGCATGGGATGGACAGGCCACACCTCCAGCTCCCAGGGTTGGGGGAGGCATTGGCGTCCCCTTCATATCATCACCCTTATGCTCCCAGAGCCCCGGTTTGTGATGGCTGCTCGGATCCCAGATAACTCTGACCCGGATGATGATAAGGTGTACTTCTTCTTCTCCGAGACTGTCCCATCACCAGATGGTGGCCCAGGTCATGTCACCATCAGCCGCGTGGGCCGCGTCTGTGTGGTGAGAGCTGTGGTGGGGTGGTGAGGTTCAAGACCCCTGTTGTGACCTCTTTCCTAGACTGTCCCTCCACGGTAGAGGTACCGAGGCAAGGAGGCAGAGCTGATGTACATGCCTCTCAGCTAAGGTTGAGGGTGGAGGAACAAGAGGTGGGGCCCATCCACACGGGGCAGAAAGCTGACTCTAACCTCTGTCCCCCAGAATGATGCTGGCGGCCAGCGAGTGCTGGTGAACAAATGGAGCACCTTCCTCAAGGCGAGGCTGGTTTGTGCTGTGCCTGGACCTGGTGGAGCTGAGACTCACTTTGACCAGCTGGGTAAGGGAATGGCCAACCAGGCCTGGGTTCTGGGAGTAGGGAGGGCTCAGAGCTGGTAAGTGGCTCTGATGCTTATGCCTCTTTTCTTTGTCCCAGAGGATGTGTTCCTGCTGTGGCCCAAGGCAGGGAAGAACCTTGAGGTGTACGCGCTGTTCAGCACGGTCAGGTGGGCACATGCACTTGCCTGCACACAGCCACTCTAGCTTTGGTCTCTCTATTGAGTCTCTGCCCTCATTGTCTTTTCATTGTCTTTCTCCCTGATTCAGGGACTCTGACAACTTTCTCCTCTCTGCCTGTTTTGTCTCTGCCTCTGTGCCCTGTGTTCCAGTCTTTGTTTTCAGCAGGCGCTATATTCTTCTTTATTGCTATGGGGCCAGCCCGCGCTCTCCCCTCCCCTAACCACCTTGGCCTGGCCTGAGTGTCCCTGTTTGCCTTTGGCAGTGCTGTGTTCCGGGGCTTTGCTGTCTGTGTGTACCACATGGCAGACATCTGGGAGGTCTTCAATGGGCCCTTCGCCCACCGAGATGGCCCTCAGCATCAGTGGGGACCCTATGTGGGCAAGGTTCCCTTCCCCCGCCCTGGTGTGGTAAGTAGCTGCTTGGGGCCAGGCAAAAGAGACCTAAGTGGATGACAGGGGGTTCCCAACAGACAAGTTCCAGGTTTACATGCAGCTCATGGCCGTAGTGGGCTGGGCTCCCAGAGGGCTTGGGAGGAGAGCCTCTGCAGCGTGCACGGCCCCCTGGAGGTGGAAAGAGGGTGGCCGTGCCGTCCCAGGGACTTCAAATGTTCTCCATGTCTCTGCCTGCAGTGCCCCAGCAAGATGACCGCACAGCCCGGGCGACCCTTCGGCAGCACCAAAGACTACCCAGATGAGGTGCTGAAGTTTGTCCGAGACCACCCGCTCATGTTCCAGCCTGTCAGGCCCAGGCGTGGCCGCCCTGTCCTGGTCAAAACTCACTTGGCTCAGCAGCTGCGCCAGATTGTGGTGGACCGGGTAGAGGCTGAGGATGGGACCTATGATGTCATCTTCCTAGGGACCGGTAGGAGGGCTGAACAGAGGGGGCCAGGTTTGTGGGGAGGGGTTAGCTTCTTCCTTCTTCTCTCACTAGCCCTTGTTCCCCTGCTCCAGATTCAGGCTCTGTGCTCAAAGTCATTGCTCTCCAGCGTAGTGGCTTGGCCGAGCCTGAAGAGGTCATTCTGGAGGAGCTCCAAGTGTTTAAGGTGAGCAGGGGTTAACGGACAGCTCTGCCTTCCAACCTATCCAACCTGGGTAGCTTGGGAGACTATCCAGCCTGGGGCAGGCTCTGGGAGAGTGAACCCACGGGAGGGGCTCAAAATATGGCACGCACCTCTGGAGAGGCCCTGGGGTGCTGCTGAATCACTGGAGTAAGCAGGTTGTGGTCTCAGAATGCCTGGTAGTCTCTGGGGAGGGATAGCCAAGGTTCCTTCTTAGCCTTAACTTGTAGGGAGTGACAAAGTGGCTGAGACTCCAAGTCCCCAAGGGTTCTCTCCCTGTAGACAAGGATGTCTGTGTTTGGGGGCTATTTTTCCTCTGGACATGAAGTGAGTGATTAGGACAGCTGCTTCATGGCTGGGGAACACTGTGGAAGGGGACAGTGGAACTCTGTGCCAAGACTCCCTTTTGGAGGCCAGCCAGGATGAAGGGCCCCTTCTGCATGTCTGGGTAACACTATCCAGCCTCCCTGCCCTTTTTATGAGACAAGGTCTCACTATATATCCTTGCCTGGCCTGGTACATATCATGTACACAAGGCTAGACTCAAACTCAGAGAAATCCACCTGCCTCTGCCTCCAGAGTGCTGGGATTAAAGGCCTGCACTATCACACCCAGCATGTGCTTGTATCTTTGAGTCCATGTCTCTCCTAGTAGCTTAGCTTAGACTGAAACTTATTATTTGGAGGGGCTGGCTCTGAACTCTTCATCTTCCTGCTTCAGCTACTAAAGTGTTGAGGTTGCAGGCATGCACCACCTTTCCCAAGTCCCGTTCAGCCTTTGCTGCCAGGAGGTAGAGTGATCAGGTTAGGGGCAACTGGCTGAAAGCAGGGGTGCCATGCAAAACCTCATCCACACATCCTAAGACCCCATTCCTTCTCTAGGTGCCAACACCTATCACCGAGATGGAGATCTCTGTCAAAAGGGTAAGCTGTCCTTAGCTCTACATCCCCTCTCCTAACCTTGCCTTGGATTCTCTTGGAGACCTGGGCCTAGCAGATTTGATTAGGCCCTTGCAGCTAAGGCCAAGCCCAGCTGGGAGCAGAGCTTAACATGGGGCTGTTTAGATAATGCCACAAGAGGCCCTTCTAAGTGATACAAAATCCAGAGTTCCAGGCAAACCAAGTAACTTCCTTTTAGTGGTATGCTCTATGCCCTTAGCCAACTGCAAATACTCGGTCCCTGTTTGTCTTTTGGTGAATCACAGCTTAAAACTTTTTGTTTACATTTTTGTGTGTGTTCATGTATATCTGTCTGCCTGTATGCCTGTGTATATGTGTCTGTCTCTGTGTGTGTCTGTGTGTTTGCTTGCGTGTGTGCCTGCCTGCGTGCCTGCCTGCCTGTACTTGTGTCTCTCTGTGTGCCTGCCTGTGTGTGTGTGTGTCTGTCTGTCTGTGTGTTTGCGTGTGTGTCTGTGTGTCTGTGTGTCTGTATAGGCTAGAGAATCTCCTTAGGTATCATTCCTCAGGTGTTCCTCAAGGCAGTGTCATTGGCCTAAAGCTTGCCTATTAGGTTGGGGTGGCTGGCCATAGCTTTAAAGCCCCATGTCTCTGCTTCCCCAGCCTGGAACTGCGAGTGGGACAGAAACAATAACTTGCATTTTTACATATAGGATCTGAAGACTGAGCTCTGGTCCTTGTGCTAAGCACCTGATTGACTGGGCCATCTCCCTAGCCTCTGGGAGTAAATCACAACTTTTAAAATGTCTTTGTTTATTTTGGTAAAGCCCTGCCGAGCTCAAGTTGCAGTAAGCAAGTCAATGAGTCTACACGGCCCTAAAAGTTCTTGTGCAAATGGAGTGTAAAGATCAGAGAACAGGTTGTTAGGAGCCCAGTTCTTTCCTTTTGCCACACGGGACAGAGGGGAACAAACTCGGACTGTCAGGCCAGCACATTTCCCCGCAGTCATCACACTGGCCCACATCTCAGCTTTTATATGGGGATTATTGTACGTGTGCCCAATCTGTAGCCCCCTGGCCACAAGGTGCTGAGGACAGCTATGAGCATGCCCCAACACAAAGTCATAAACTTACTGAAAACATGAGAGTTGGTTTTTCTAATCTGTTCTTGGTAACTTGGTTGCTCATACGTGAACTTTGCAGGTGACAATGTCATATCACAATGTCAAAAGGTCAGACAGGCCTGCAAGGTACAACTCCAAAGGCAGAGACCAGTCACACAAAGTCCATCAGGCTAGGGTGCAAAGGTTACCAGCAAAGAAGGCCTGAAGAAGTCACCTATAGAAAAGACCCTGGGGCTGGAGAGATGGCTTAGAGGTTAAGAGCACTGTCTGCTCTTCCAGAGGTCCTGAATTCAATTCCCAGCAACCATCTGATGGCTCATAACCATCTATGATGAGGTCTGATGTCCTCTTCTGTTATTCAGGCACACATGCAGGCAAAACAATGTGTACATAATAAATACATAAATCTAAAAAGAAAAGATCAGGTCCTCGGTCCACCCACACTTATACACAGCCCCACACAGGGTCTGGAATACATCTCTATTCTTGTGAATGAATCCAAGAGGTTCTGGAAGCCTTCCTAAAACTGCTGGGTCTCTGGAAAGCCCTGGGGGTTGAGGGCCTGAGGGTGAAGCCCGGCTCACTGGGGCTCTGCTGTGTCCCTCCCCCAGCAAGCCCTGTACGTGGGCTCTCCCCTGGGAGTGGCCCGGCTGCAGCTGCAGCAGTGTGAGACTTACGGGAGTGCCTGTGCTGAGTGCTGCCTGGCTCGGGACCCATACTGCGCTTGGGATGGCACTTCCTGTGCCCGCTACCGCCCCAGCTCCGGCAAGCGCAGGTTCCGTCGGCAAGACATCCGACATGGCAACCCTGCTGTGCAGTGTTTGGGCCAGGGCCAGAGCCGAGACAGTGAGTGCTGGGCCCACGGTGCGGGTGACCCTGTGGACTGCGCTGTATCCCTGGAAAGCATGGGCTTGGGCTGAGGGGTGCTTAAGTCCTCATCATGCAGGAATCCCGTGGGAGTTAGTGGCCCTGAGTCGGGTCTCCTAGTTCCCAAGCTGATCTGACCTGGTGTTCTCTGCAGAAGAAGCTACAGGACTGGTGACCAGAGTCTTTGGCACAGAGCACAACAGCACTTTCCTTGAGTGCCTGCCCAAGTCTCCCCAGGCTGCGGTGCGCTGGTTCTTACAGAGGCCAGGGGATAAGGAGACGGACCAGGTGGGTGAAGATCCTGCCTTGAGATCCACTTCTCTCCCTGAACCCCAAATCCTAAGCCCGAGGAAGGGACTCTGGAGTGAGTGGGACAAGCTCATCCCGAGAAAAAAAATGTGTAATACACCGCGGGGAACCTGAGAGGAGTGTGCACCCGTTTCTGCTTCTGGGAGTACCTAGGCTGCACTTAGCTATGGCCTCCCTATCTGTGAGGGGGTGGCAGGGACTGAAGAAAGGCAATGGGGTCTAAGTTGTTCTGGAAGCTAACACATGGGCAGAGCAGAGTCAGGAACCCGTTTCCCATGGGGAGGGGAAGAGGAGGTTTGGTTACAGGAGGGGCTCTTCCTCCAGCTTGGGAGCCAGGGGAGGCAAGCCTGGGACCAGCTGTAGGGTTGGGCACTGAGGAGACTCCCTAGAGCCGGGGGAGCAACAAGATGAGGTTACACAATGCTAACCACCCAGGCAGTTCACCCTCAGCGTTCAGATGCACAGACTGGGCTAGCAGAAGAGCTTGGGATGAGAGCCAGATGTTGCCTCCCACACTCATGTGGGCACTTAGCCCACCCCAGGCTTGGGCTGTGGGCCTCACACTGCAGGGGAGTGAACAAGGCAGACCAAGGCGGGGAAGGCCCAGCATGACTGTGTGTGTAAATGTGTGTTTGTAGAATTTTTATTAGCGTAGAGTAAAACCTCATAGAGAGGCACCTAGCTCCTCCGCTCCTTGGGTGCTCACATAGTTATCTGAAGATGCTGCCTTAGGGCTCGGACCTGGGGGCACACAGCCATTCAGTCTTTGAGAAGCCTTCTTCAGAGGTCCTTGTCCTGCTCTGTGGGAAGGGGAGGGCCTACTCGCCTGCCTGCAATTAGCTCATGGTCTGTTCTGAGAGCCTGTCAAGTTGCTACACTCACCTTGGCAAAGAGGAGGTAGGCAAAAGGAGGGTCCAAAGCTTAGACCTTGCAGGTGGGGTGGTAAATGTGGAACAGCAGGGTCAAGAAAATGAGGGGTATGTCCTCCCCTGATCCTTGCTTATGTCTCCTGTGCTCTCCTGCTCATCCCACAGGTGAAGACAGATGAGCGAGTTGTGCAAACGGAGCAGGGGTTGCTGTTCCGAAGGCTCAGCCGCTTCGATGCAGGAAACTATACCTGCACCACACTGGAGCACGGCTTCTCCCAGATGGTGGTTCGCTTTGCCCTGGAAGTGATTGCGGCTGCACAGCTGGAAAGCCTGATCCTCCGGGAGCCAAGGCTGGAGGAGCCCTCAGCCTGGGGAGGCCCGGCCTCTGCATCACCGAAGGCTTGGTATAAGGACGTCCTTCAGCTCACGGGTTTTGCCAACCTGCCCCGTGTGGATCAGTACTGTGAGCGTGTGTGGTGCAGGGGTGCCGGGGAGCGCCCAGGCTCCTTCCGGGGAAGGGGAAAGCAGGCTAAAGGCAAGAGCTGGGCAGGGCTGGAGTTGGGCAAGAAGGTGAAGAGCAGGGTGCTGGCTGAGCACAATCGGACTCCCCGGGAGGTAGAAGCCACATAGAAGATGCCTGAGGAGGGGGTGGTCAGGCTGGGCGGGGGGGACTCAACAGCATCTCCCTTCCACCCAGCTAGGGCAGAGGAGTCCAGGACACCTGATTCCCTCTTAGAGGAAATCTCTACCACCCACAGGAAAGGCTAGTCGCTGCTGGGAGGGACCTTGCACCTCAGCCTATTCCCTGACCCTCTCTCTGTGCTCTCAGTCCCAGGCTGGAGCTGGCACCCCTGACCACTTGTAGTCCCAAGGGGCCTGCTATTTGTTCTCAGAGATGGTGTGGCTTCCGGAGCACATTTCCGGTTGTGCCCAGAGGCAAGACGGTTGGGTGGTTCTTTTCCAGCTTGCAGAACAATGGCCATTCTGAGTGACTCTCTGAGCGGTGTATGGGTAGCTCTGAGGGGATATATTGGCAGTCCACCAGAAGAGGGGAAAGTTAAGCTTCCTAAGGTAGTACCTGTTAAGAAACCCTTGCCCCAACAGAGGGGCCAAAGGAGGTGGAGGAGCTGAGGAGGTGGGGTAGCACTGTTTGCCTGACTCCGTGCTTTGGAATCTAGATGTTTCCCTGCCTCGGCCTACTACCATCTCATACATACAGGGGCAGGGATTGTTGGAACCTGGAGGCAGCCTGGCCCCCCTTTTAAACCAGAAAGAGTCATCTCATAACGTGATACCTTTTCCTAGGTCCCAAATTGTTCGTCCAGGTTTGCTGGGGTGCCCATACCTCACCACTGGGGTCACTTCCTGAGGATCAGAGGAAAGGTCTGTGGAGTAGAGAGAGGCAGAAGGCAGCTGGGGGTGGGAGTGTGAGGCAGGCACAGTCAGGCCTGCGAGGTTAGGAGGGGATGCTCTGAGACCTGCAGCCAGTGGTCAGGGTCAGCACCCTGGGCTTTGTCTAGGGCTCCAAAGAGCTACAGAGAGGCGGGTCTGTGAGCAGGAGTCCTCAAGAATCAAAGTGACATCAACTGGTTCAGGAACCACGCGGCAGGCCAGATGTTTCTAATCCTGGAGTCTCCATTTTCTGCTATATGCAGGGTAGTCAGGGTGGTCCATGTAAGACTCCCATGTTTTATCTGTGGTACTTGGGTTTGAACCCAGGGTTTCATGCATGCTAGACAAGTACTCTACTTCTGAGTTCTAAGTCCAGCACTCTCTTTCTCTCTCTCTGGGAAAACATGGAAAAGAAAGCTGGTAAGAATAGTAAATCCTGCTGTTCTGGGATGGGGAAACAGAGCAGACCAGGGCACATCTGGCCTGGGCTGTAGGGAGGACCTTTGCCTTCAGCAGTTTCTCCAGCTGGCGAGCAGAGAGGGGGAGGAGAACAATTAAATGAAAAATTATTCCCAGCCTGAGGGTGAGCAAGTTGGTGACGCACAAGATGGACAAGAGGGCAAGTCTGAGATCCCCTCTTTGAAAAGAAGGAAAAAGGAAAAAGGGTGGAGGGGTGGGGAGAGACGATGAAACAGCAATACAGAGCTTCTTGTTCTACTGAAATTCAAACTGAGGACCTTGGGCTTATCTCCTCTTTCCCGGTACCCCAGCTCTTGCGCTGGGGTCTGAACTTACACCCCTTCTCCACTTTGTTCACCTGGCAAACAGAAGCCCTGAAATCCACCTGTCCGAATCCACCTATCTACCCTGTCTGTGGGTGCCGTCCCTTGGGATGTTGGTGGATGAACGAAGAGGACAGGAGTGGGTGGGAGCTAGAAGGGAGGAGGGTGGGGAGGGACCCTAAGGCAGAAGGCGGCAACCTCACTCTCAGTGGCCTCTGAGCCGAGTTTAGGTTTGGTAAGCTCTGGGCAGGGTCCTCTAGCGAAGAGGCCCTGGAAAACACAGGGAGAAGGACTCAATATCCTGAATGACCTACCCCTATACTTGGGAAAATAAGCCAGCTCCTGCCGACTGCCATCCTCCCATGGTACTGTGCTACGAGCACCCGGAAACACCCACGCGTGTGAACTGTATTTGTGTTAGTGCTTTGAAATGGGCCTTTTGGCTGCTCAGTCTTCCAAGCATGCTTATTGAAATTGCTATTGATATTTTTATTGTCGTGTTGCCTTTGAGCTCTCCTGAGGAAAGCAGAACCAGTAAGAAAAAAAATGAAGAAATATTTTATCACATAATTATATCATGACTGTATCTGTGTGCTTTTGTACTAAACTGATGAATGAGGAAGGAAGAATGCTGTGTGCTCCCGGAAATGGTCAGCCTAGACGACATTTTCTGGCAGACAGGGTGATGTGTGACAGCGGAAGGAGTCAGAGGGTTTTGCCTGTAAAGGAAAGATTGCTCAATATGCGAGGAAAATCCTGTCCTGAAGGCTTATAAAATTGACCTTGGAACTTCAGAAGGATTTTGAGGGGGCAGGGAAACCTGGCGAAGGGCAGACAGGCACGCAGGAGCACCTGCTCCTTTTTTCACAACATTTGACATTTGTAACAGTGCCTCTTAGCCTGCTGCTCTTAGCCTGCTGCTGCCTTCATCCCAAGCCATTCACTAATGTATATTAAGGCCACTGAAACTATGCCCAGGCCGGGCCAGGCTATAGTTTTTAGGGAGGAGGAGCCTTGATAAGGCCTTCTGACCATGATCCCTACTGTTCCAGTGATACCCTACCCAAAGTATGGTCCACACTGATGCTAGGGGGATATGGAAAAACTACAGGAATATTTCAAAGACAGAAAGGGACGGCAGCCTACGTTCCCAGAAAGCTACCCCCTGGCATCTAGCTTAGACAGGTTCCTTGGAAGATTAACAAAACAGGCCAGTCATTGGTCTCATCTTGTAGGTTGGCTCTGGGCCCCTTCTACAAACACCTAGGCTTGGTTGAACCTGAAGCTCCACTACCTCACTCTGAGCCATCATCATTGCCATTGCACTTACTTGGCACTGGCCTGGCAATGTGGCCCCCACATCTCCTGTTTTCCCTTGGCCATACTGTGCAACCTCTGAAACCAGATGCCACTGTGCCCTGTGTTCCCAAAGTCTTCTCCCTCCTCCCCTCCCCTCTCACTGCTCAGCTCAAGCCCAGTTTCCGGCCTCAGTTACTTCACCTTCTATCTTTCTCTTGCAGCTTTTTCCTCTGCATCTCATACTTCCCTTGGTGTCTAGATCCCTGGTTCATGATTTCCCAAACAGGTTTAGCTCAGAAAAAGAGGTTTGGACAAAGAGACTAATCAAGTGTTGCCAAAATGGTGTCCTGTGAACTGTCAAATCCCAGGAAACCCTCTGTGACTTCCTGATCTCCATGGTCTGTCAGAGTCCAGGATTTCTGTGCTCATGGCTGCCCCAAGCCTGGGAGCTACCTGCAGAGTCTGTGATGCCCTCCTGCCTACTGTGGCATGGCTTTCTGTCTCCTGTTTTCAGTTTCACAGGGCTGCTAACATCTTTCTGATGTTTTGAAGAGCACATTTTGGAAAAGTGCTGATTAGATTAATTCCTTCCCTTTACACATGAGAGTAATTTGTTAATCATCGCCTCCCGAGTTTGTAAACACTGGAGGTCCTGACTCCCAGATGTCAGTCAGTCTGTACTTCCTGCACCAAAATAGGCCCTTTCACCCTGGGGGGCAGGGCTTAAAGTCACTGGCATAGGAAGTGTGAGTCTGGGGTCTTTCCTGCTCTGGTTCCCATTTCTTCCACTCTCAGCCTCTTCTGGCTCTTCCAGTGTTTAGTATATCTCTCTGTGTGTGGCAGGGAAAGGGTGGCCAAGTTTCACCTCAAGCATGTGGTGGTGAAACTGAACACAGCAATTTCTCAGGGAGGGTGTGGAGCTTGTCAGAATGAGAGGGAAATGGCTCTTTTGCTTTCTCAAATGGCTTCTGTGCTTCTCTTTCATTTAGATAAAGTTGGGTCAGGTGCTAGACACCCCCGAATCTTGAGGAGTGGGCATGTAGCAGCTACCAGGAGATGGTCTCCTTTTAGACAGTCAGTTCTAGCCAGCTTATGAGCCTGTCAGCCAAGAAAAATGGAGGTTCCTCTATGTAGCACCATTTTCTTAGAACTAGGAAAGAGGTACTCAGAAATAGTCCAGTTTTCATCTGAAATAAGAACCCAGTCTAGGCTCATTTATGTTCTGGGCTGCAGGGGTGGGGCCAGTCCAGGAGGAGAAGCTTGAACATACCCCAAAAACTAATCTCCATGTTTTTTTTTAAGACTACAAGCTTGGAAAGGGGGTAGGCAGGGCCAGGACACAATATCTGATAAGAACCTGGGGATTTTAGGGTCCCACCCTGGCTCTTTTTCCGGACTTGCCTACCTCTCTGGAATATGGGAGATGAGGAAGGCAGCAATGGCCTGGTTCCCACTTCCCACTGCCCAGCCCGTTTGCCTTGGCCCTTTTCCCTCTGAGGCCACCTCATGAAGCCTTTCACTTTCTGAGCTGGAGTTTCATTAAGGAAATTTCTAGTTCCTCAGTCGCTCTCTGTGGGGGATAAGGACCGCTGCAAAGTCCCCAGGGAGGCTGGAAAGGGATGCTGGGCTTTCCTCCTGTAGGCCTCCAGCAGCTAGATGGTAGCCTATTCCAGATCCCTGCTGATGGGGAAATGCAAAGAAGAATAGGCTCAAAGTCTCTAATCCAACAATGAGATCTGTTTCCCATGCACAGAAAACAGTAACCAGGGCCATCAGAAAGCTGTGACCTGATAAGGATTCCAAAGTGAATTAAAAAACAAAAACAAAAGCCCTGGGACAGAATCCAGGTGTCTACCTTCCAGTAGAAGGGACTTTGCTAGGGACACATGGAGTCCAGACTGGCCTGTGGGGAGGTAGAGGCAGCTCTGCTCTCACAGATACAGACTAGAAGAATGACGCGTCAGAACAGCAGCTTGCTTTGTGGACATGATCTCATTGCCCACACCACCTCCACCCGCCACAGCTGATAAGAATCTGCCACTGTTTCCTGTAGTCCAAGGGTCCTGGACAATAGTGTGAACCACCAGCCCAAATGGAAAGGACATTGTTCAAGGAAGAAAAAAAAAAACAAAAAACACTACGACACAAAGCCAGGGAAGGATCTGTCTAAATGTAAGAGTCTGTTTACAAATTCACCATTTCCAAGGACTGGAACACAATGGGGGATTGCTTCCTTGAGGATGGTGTCCCTTCTAGTCTGCTCCTGATGGCTAGCGATGGCTTTGATGGCCCAGATGGGTGTCAGATGCACTGAGACGGATGGACACTGATGGCGCGGGGGCCTTCCTGTTTATCAGGCATGTATGCAGGCTAGGGTCAAGAAGCCAGGGTTGAGCGGGTAGGGGCTGTGAGGCTTCACTCCCCCTCTGGTTCTCATGATGTCTGATCCTTTAAAATGGAGTTTCCTTGCTTGGTCACTAAGAGTCTTCTTTCATCTGGTGACCTCCATGACACTGTGACTCACCTCCTGTCAGCATGGAACGTGGAGGAGGTGCCGGTTGGGAGTTGGGGGTGGGGGTAAGGGTAGAGAGCATGGCGTGGGGGAGGTGGTGTTGACACTATCCCCGGGATCAGTAGAGACACTACTTTTCACTGAATCTCTGTCCTGTCCATGGAGGTTGGAGCCTTTGGACCACCAATCACAAACTGTGATGGCTGTGTGTGTGTGTGTGTGCATCTGCCTTTCTGTGTCTGCATGGGCGCACATGTGTGTATGTATGTGTGGTAGGAAGGCAATGCAGAAGAGCAATAGAGCCATCTCGCTTATCCCTTGTAGCTGCAAGTTACCAGTTGGTGGGGGAAGGCAAGCCAGGGTGAGGAAGGCCACTTTCGAGTCTAGAACTATAAAGGCAGCCTTGGTTAAAATCTGACCTGAGTAGCAGTGTCACTGTTACTTTTGATATACATCTCTAAGCCTAACGTAAATATACCTCATGAATAAACTTGAGCTGGTGTGTTTAGAACAAATGAGGAAGGAGCAATAATGCTGTGTAATTCCCAAGCAGAAGCAAGAATTTCATAATCTCCTTCCTCAACATGCTAACACTGCCCTCTGGCGTTTACCAGCAGAACAACATGATCAAGAACTCTGACTAGATAGCAAGCTGTCTCTGAAGGTGGAAATCTGGGCTAGGCAGCACAAACAGAATGGCTAACAAAATAGGTCTCTGACTGTAAGGGGCTTCCAGTCCAGCAGTAGAGACAGACCTACAACTGTCAGACTGACAGAGGGCATGCACTACAAGGACACAGGGAGCAGAAGTGAGGACCCAGCGACGACGAGGTGGCCATCGCATTCAATGCAACAGGCTGAGGATGAAGGTGAGGACTCTCCACTCTGGGGACCTGAGGCCAGCATTTCAGAAAAGGACAAGGCATGGGTGGGGTGCCATGGGAGATGCAGCTGTGAAGGGCTCCTATTTGCAAAAAGGCCACAGATGCCAATCCTAGCCAAAAAAAGCTGCCCGTGTTACATGGTATCCAGGTGATTCAGTGAAGTGGACCTAGACAGCTATGTAGACAGAAGGTTCCTGCTGCAGGCCTGTGGGCACGAGGGCGTGAGCAAGCACTGGAAGTGGCAGAGGAGGAGAAAAAACAGTGAAAAAACTGATGAACTGACAAGAAAGCAGTTGCTTAGGGAGGAAAGCCAAATAAACCCTGGAGGGTTCTGACCTTCACTTATTCCTCCAGCAAAGGGAAGGAGCACAGGGAAGCATGTGCTCTGGAGAATTTCACTGAGCATTTATTTTTGTCCTTCTCAAAGGAAGCAATTGTTCAGGTCCTCAGTTATGAAATAGTCATTAATTCAAATATTTACATATATTACTCATTAATTCATCTGTTATTAAAAAACATTTAAAATATACAGAATATCCCAAGACACCTTAAAATGATAGAAATTAAGGAGGTATTAAAAGACAAAACAAATGCAATGATAGCAATGTTCAAAAAAAGATACAAAGATGCCCAATGGCCAAAGCTGGAATAATCTAAACAACAAAAAAAAATCATATTGAATTGAAACCCAAAGTGTAATGTACACATTTTCAAGCCCATACTGATAGTAACAGTAAATAAAAACATATATACAGTTAAATACAAACAATGAAAATGATTGAGTAAATAAATAAGCGGGAGAGGCTAGGCAAATCTGTGCAGAATTCCACTCTCACCGAGGAGGGTGCACAAGGCCCCACACCTTGTGGCCTGCATGCAAAGGGGCTCAGCTGACAGGCACTGCCTCAGGTCATGCTGACAGGATGGAACTTCATGTAATGAAATGCACTTTATCTCTGTGATCTTCAAAACTCAGAACCTAGTCTACTCATGATAAAAGGTATTAGATAAATCCTATTTAGAGAACACTACAAAAATGCACGATTATTACTCTACAAAAATGTCATAGAAAAATCTGACCATCACCTCCAAGAGGAACCTAAAAAAGATGGTGGATTCTTGTATTTTAGTATTATACAAATGGATTCTTATAAACATAAAGGTACTAACACCAATCTCTAAGATAATAACACTTATAGTAACTCTAGGTTAAGAAAGTAAAGTCAACTAAAGAAATGGTGACTCAAAACTGTAATTTTAGCACTGAGGCCAGCCTAGAGAATACAACACCAGCATAGGCTACAGTGAGTTCCAGAACAGCCTGGGATGAAGAATAACACACACAGACACAGACACACCGACACATACACACACACACACACACACACACACACACACACACACACACACTATAGCATTTAATCATCAAACCTATGAAATAGCAAATGAAAGGCCTAGTTCCGGGAGCCATAGGATAGTAGTTGTTCAGTTTAGGCTAGGTGGTAGAGGTGGGCCTTCCAGAAAAGAAGTGTAACTGACAATGATCTACTATCTAGAGCTAGCAATAGGTTACAGCGAATAAAAGAGGCAGTGATGGTGCAGGCCTTTTTTAATCCCAGTACTCTAGAGACTCTAGAGGCAGAGACAAGCAGATTCCCTACAAACACACACACACACACACACACACACACACACACACACACATACACACACCTGGCTGTGTGTGTATGTGTGTGTGTGTTCAAGGCCATTCTGGTCTACCTACATAGCAAGTGCTAGGTCAGCCAGGAGTACATATTAAGATGCTGTCTCAAAACAAAACAATATCCCCCCCCCCAAAAAAAAAAAAAACAAAGAAGGGAATTTCTAGATCAACAGCAAATCATATTATACTCATGACAGTATAAATGACAAAAATTATAAAGCAACTATTTAAGATAGGGAGATTGAAAATGGGAAGTTTCTGAAGGTGCTAAACCCATATGTAACATAAGAAAGTCAGTAATATCTACTATTTCTAAATCAAGAAACTGCTTAAAAAATGGCAGTAGTTGCCTTTAGGAAATATGATTAGAAATAGAGAAGGATGAGCTAAGAGTGGTTTTCATTACAGCCCTTTTAGGACTTAATAGTCTAATGACTTTCATAAGAATGTGAGCCATGCCAGGACCTTGCACATGGTAAACATAATCCATATCACTGAGCTCCTCTCCTAGGCACTGCAGACTTTTAAATGAATGTATTACAGGTCTTAAACATGTAAGTATTAACAAGAATATATTATTTTTCTGTATACTTTGATAGTAACAAAACAGTACTCATGCTTTCAAGTGAGTCCAGTCTAATCTGAAGGCAATCACCATATATACATTGTGGCTCTCAGTCTGCAGGATTCAGCAATATTTGAAATGAGAACACTGTCTTTCACCATTAGTGACAATGACTCACTGAAACCTTGGGAATTCAGTATGTGGCAATTCTCTGAGTTTTCCCCACGAACCCCAGCCCCATGAAATCACTAAAAACATACAAATATAAGATAGGCTCTGCCAATTTCTTCCAGGCCCTCTGCCAGATTCCCATCCCAGCTGCCTTGCCTAATGTGAATGTTCTGGTTGCAAGCTCATAGCTACACCACGGTTGGAGAAAATGCTGGAGCTCCCAGGCAGTGGGGATGTGAGCTAAGACCACACTGGCTAGCATGTGTGGAAGACTCCTGCCCCACACAAGTATGGCAATCCTACTCTGTTGAATCCAGGGACCCCAGCCTTGCCATAAGGGCCTGTTCTGGGACCAATGTGGGCTGCTAAGCTGGCTCACTACCCAGAACTTGTGCGCTTATTTGCATGAGGGTGACACTCTTCGCTCCTGGAATCCAACTTACCCTCAAAGCTGATTCCCTCCCAAAGAACACATCTATGCTCTATGTTGAACATTCTAGTGACTTATTTTTGGGATCAGATGGCTAAACTTATTATTCCTTCACTCTACCCTTCAGATTCTTCAGTGTACTAGACAGATCCCAGAGCAAATTTGTACAGAAGGAGACACCAGTGGAGAGACAACCTTTATTTGCAAATAACAAATGAGTGAAGCATATGAGAACCAGATCAAGGTGGAAAGAATCTTGGTGAAAGAGGATAAGAACTGAGGAGAAAGAGCAGAGGTGCCCCTACACTCAGCTGTTGGCACAGACTCAGTTATTCTATCCACCTTCCTCAAGACCTCTTTGCCTGGCTACTAGTCTCACTGCTGGCCTCTTGTGTCTCATCGTTTCAAAGCTCTACCTCTCCAAACTGATGCAGCAGCACTGTTCTGTACCTCATTGTCCTTGGCAGTAACCACTCTGAATTTGGTTTTTTTTACTTGGATTTTTTTTTTTTTTCAGTCCTTAGTGATTTTTTATTCCTTTTGATTGCCAGGAGTGGCAGCTTCTGCCACCAGAGGACTCAGGCTTTCCTAATAGGGAAGGCTGCGGCCAATCTGCCCAAGAATAGCCTGGATTCTCTTCCAGGTGGGTGACCCTCAAGAAATACTCTTGGGGGTGGAAGGTGTTGCTGCAGCAGGGGATGTCACTTGAGTCTTCAGACATGTTAACCTGTGGTGAAAGAAGGGGGTAAACTCAGCCCCTTGTTTCTCCTGTGTACAGTCCTCAAATACCTCACCAGCCATCTTCCTTCCAAAGCTAGGGCATCCACTGAAAGTTCCCCTCTGTGACAATGTTTTCTCCATCCCCAGGCATGACAGGCCCCAGCTCCATCCCGATTCTTACATCAGGCCATCCTTACAGCCTCACCCAAGGTTGAAGCAGGCAAACACTCATTACACTCCCATTTCTTGCTGTTGGGTTTAAGAGAGGAACAGTCCCGGTGGGTTCCATGGGATCCACATGTAGCACACAGAATGAGGCGCCACCGCCTACAGAAGAGCCATAGAGAGATGTAGGGACAATCAGGACACCAACTGTCACTCTCGAATGTCAGCTACCATCCAGCTGCAGCCATGAGGAGAACTCCCCAGGGATTTTCTTTATGTATGTGAGTGTTTTGCCTGCATGCATGTATGTGGTCCACGTGCATACAATGCCCTTAGAGGCCAAAGAAGGTGTCAGCTCCCTTGGAACTGGAGTTGCAGACAATTGGGAGCTGCTTTGTGGATGGTGGGAATAGAAACTTGGTTCTTTGTAAGGAGAGTGGGTGCTTTTAACCATCAAGCCATTTCCCCAGCCCCGAGGGCATGTTAAGTTAATGTTAATTTTACTATACACATTACCACACGGTGTGACCAGGTGATACTAGGGTTGATTCTAAGAGGCTACAGGTGGTGCATCCCCTGGCAGGATGAATTTGGAAAGTAACTGACCCTGAGTGAGTCTCTCATGGGCACAAACAGCAGACGAGACCTTCCATTTGTGTACGATTAAGTCAAGGGCTAGTCAAAAAATGGGACTTGGCAACTGGCTTCATCCTAAGGGGTGTGGACAATAGCAGACTTCCTGCTTTAATAACAGCGCCAAGTTCTAACTCTAAGACCGCACCGATGAGTGCTCTCTACCCAGGAGCTTCTTCCTACCCTTCATCCTCAAAGCTGTCTCTGCCCTGTTCATACAGACAGATGGGGGCATCACAATGCTGATAGCGCTGATACAACTCTGAGAAAGCTCCTGGCTCAAGTTCCCAGGCGGCATCTCTGCAGTGGGAAAAGAAGTTGTAAGGGAGACATGATCTGCCAATGAACCTTTGTCTACCTGGAAGAATCCAAGCGAAGTACAGCAAGAGTTCAAAGGCTGCCGGAGCACTGCCAACAAGGCTGGACCATTGGTCTGCTGTCGGCAGAGGACCGATGCCATCAGAGTGGAGCATGGGGGTTCCTTATTCCACCCTGGAGTTCAAACTTGCCATCCCCAGAAGTTTTAAAGTGCCCTTCAGGACCGCGCCTTCTGCCCGTCCCCCTTTTCCTTTCTTTGGCTATTGAAAGCACTCTTGGCATCACCCTCACATCACTGTGTATCAATGCCTCAGTTGCTGCCGATCTCTGAACTACCCTCACACTCACCTCCTAGAAATCCACACAACCCATTCCCTGGCTCAGCTCCTGCTGTCTAAACTTTCTGCTACCTGTCTGGAATGTGGATTCCCATCCTCAGCATTTCCTGTGGAAACTCTTCTCGGTTGTTACACTGGGGGCACTTGAAGAAGTGCTTTGCTGATGTGTGGGCATATTTCTGTAAGAGAAGAACGCATCTGTGAAAACAATCAGGACAACTTCCCACACCTGTTCTCACTTCATGGGAGTTCAGGAGAAGCAGTGTGAGTGTAGCATGAGGAGGGCTGCCTGGGACCAAAGGGCTTTTGAAGAGAGCTCTGAGGAGTGCCTGGGTTGTCATTTCTGGCTATGGGGCTTGGCAGTACTGACTCAGCAGAGGTCAGGGACTTGGATACATTCTGATTTCTTTCATCCCAGTAGTGAGGCTGACTTTGAGCAACTTGGCTCGTTCTTGGAAACACCCATTTGTTTTAGCATTTGTTTTTGGCATCCTGAGGATGCCCAGGCTAAATCTTACCATGAATGAAGCCGCAGGCCAAGGGTGACCAGAGACTGGGTTGACTATTTCCTCACTGACCTGGAAGCAGTTCCTGCATACATGCCTGAAGTATATAGTTCTGAAGCTTGGATATCCTTGAGCATTCCCAGGGTGCCCTGGTTCTAAGCACAGGGCCAGGACAATCAATCCCCTCCCAAAATAAAGAACCCACCTGGATACACTTTCGGTGGTAGACAGCTTGACTACAACATGGGCTCTGGATGTTCTCAACACTTGTTTGGGATAAGTCTTCACAACACAAGATGCAGCTTTCCTCCCCCAAATTCCCCTGTTGGATGTCCTGTGTTGGGCGATGTTTTCCGCAAAATGATCTGTAGTGAGTAAACAAGACTTGATTTCTGGCTTGTCACTGATGTAGATTCCCAGCTGCCTGTCCTAGGAAGAGCAATCAGGTATTTGCTTGATGCCCAGTAAATAGCTAGGAGAAGCAGAGTGAAAAACAGCTACATGACTTCTCATGGTTGCTCACCCCACTGAGCAAAGCTCCAAGGACTGTCTCCATCGCTTCCCATTATTGAGAGCCCTATTTAGTTATGAGCAGCTGTCTAAGAACCTCAGCTGTTTGTAATTTAAGGAAGGGACAGGAAACAGGAAGAAACCCCTGTGAAGCTTCCAAGACAAGACACTGTTTTCCATTATCGAGTGGGGGGACAGATTTGTTGGAGAATCAAAACAGTCTTGTGAGAACTGTTCTGACTTCAGTGGTGTCTAAACAGGTTGCAAAAGGGTAACCCCACTTTTCTGCTTCCTCACTCACTTGTACTCTCCAAAAAACTGTGAAAGGCAACCCCTTTCTTGGCCACAAGGCAGATGGA